GTTAAGTAGGTGGGTAGGTTAAGTAGGTGGGTAGGTAAGTAGGTGGGTAGGTAAGTAGGTGGGTAGGTTAAGTAGGTGGGTAGGTTAAGTAGGTGGGTAGGTAAGTAGGTGGGTAGGTAAGTAAGTAGGTGGGTAGGTATGTAGGTAGAAAAAATTACAGGAACCACTGAGTATTTCAATAAAATATAAAACAACAGTAAATCCGAAAATAAACATTTTAAAATGTTTATTTTCGGAGTTACCATTGTTTTATATGTTATGTATAGGTACAATGTATAGGTACAATGTATAGGAGGGTGGGCCAGTAGATAGGTAGGCAGGTGGGTTGGAGACAAGGTACTGTAGGTCAATAGGTGGGTTGGAGACTAAGTAGATAGGTGGGTGAGTGGATAGATAGGTGGAAATAAGTATATAGATAAGTAAGGTAGGTGGGTATAAGTAATTGTTGGTAAGTACAGTTGGTATAGTCACTGGGTGGGCGAGTGTGTAGGTAGGAGGGTGGGCAAGTAGATAGGTAAGTAGGTTGATGGGTGGGTGGGAGAGTATGTAGGCAAGTGGGAAGGTAGGTATGCAGGTGGGTGAATTAATAGGTGGGTGGGTGGGTACACAGATAAAGATTAAACTTACAGCTCTTGTTCAACTTTCTTTTCCAATGCATAACTCAAATCACTCAGCAATATTGACTTGTATAGGTCTCGCAAACTAAAACATTTACATATATTTTCGATATGAAATGACGCATACTTGCAAATGAAAACATTATGTAATGGCAAGGGGAACTTCGACATTTCGAGTGAAGCCCCTTTGTTGGGAAGTTACTAATTTCAAAACGTTGAAATTCTCCTTGTATTTTACAGGTACGGTAGTTGCATCCCTATATATATCAGAAACTTTATCGGCACAGAACGTTTAACATTTAACCCCTGTTTTGGCTTGTGTATTTCTGCACATCACTTTTACAACTTTAGAAAAGAACACTGCAAATGATCCACATGCGATTTTGGGACAACTCACAACTATTTCCAAGTTTATAAACAATTGGCGAGAAAATTGCATTGTGGACTGATATGTACAAATATTACCATTTGCATTCAAGTGTTACCCCATGCCACAATTAAAGTTGTTTCTGGGTTTTGCAGCCAACGTTGGGGTTGGACAATTTTACGTTTCACACATTGTCAAAATAGTGATGACATTGAGCGTAAGTTTGCATTTTGCAACAGTCATTTTCTCTTCCGTTATAAGTCAAGACAATAAACATAAACCACAATTATAAATACATCCTTGGCACTTTTGCTGTTTTAGTTAGTATTTTTGTTCATTGTATGATTAAAATACAAATATTGTTAAAAAATACCTTTATTTTGTTAAACGATAGGCAAAATATTAGTCCTTGAAACTTTATTTTCGGTTTGTTACTGGCTAAACTTAACATGAAGGATAAAATGACCATTGCAAAACCCAAAGTTACACATCCCATGTCATCACTATCTTGACATGTGAAATGTAAAAATTAACCAATCACACAACATTTGTAGCAAAACTCGGAAACAACTTTTTGTCAGTGCGTGGGGTAACGCTTGAATGCAAATGGTAATATGAAACTGAAATATCATCGTGGCCAACATGCCAATTGAATGCATACTTAAAATATTGAACTGGCTTATTGTAAGTGTTTGTACCTTTGGCACGAGGACCACAATTCTCCTCCAACTGAAAAGTCGTCTTTTCTTGTAGCTATAAAATAAAAATTCATAATAAAAAATACATGCATTCGATGGATACATTTATGCACAACCTTTAAAACACCATGTAAGGAGATGCAATGAAATACAATTAATTACAAGGCAACTTTACACCTTTGTTATTACAGACAATTTTAATTACAATTAATTGTTTAGCAAATATTTCTGTCATATGCATTGTGGACAAGATTTCTCCAGATTTCCTTGCAAATTTGCAGTTAAAGTACAAAAAACCTAGGTAATTATTGATCTTTTAAAAATTTTGAAAAAAATATGCCATTTGTCATAATCCTAAAATTTAAACCCTTCAAGCGACTCGCATGACGTATAAATCCGAATTCAAAAAAAAAATAACTGTAAATGTGTGTCGAAAACGGGGGAAATAGAGCATCAAAAATACTTTAATGCTACATTATATTGCATAAAAGTATAGCACAATTCTTTTAAATGTTATGAAAAGCTTCTGTTTGTTCAGCTTTGTTCCAAAAATCAAACCAAAAGCATTGTTTACATCGAGCAAAAAAATTTCAAAGGCTTACCAGTGATAGTTGATTTCAACACTTCCGCTTCGCTAAACAGAACAACAAAAAACTAATATTAAAACTCAAGTGGAAGGAATAGTTATTTAAGTTTGTAATGCTGATTTTTTTACAAGACAAACTATAAAAAGAAAGCTTTTCTTACCGAAAAACTTGCGACGAATTGAAAACAACAGGCGCCATATTGTTTGATTTCATGGACCTACCAGCGGTTTCTCTGTGAACACTTGAAACGACGCTCTAGCGCACTAGGAATATCCAAACTTTGAAAACTATAAACATAATGCTTATTTTTGACAATTATTCGTGTATTTTTGACAATTAAAATGGTAAGGGAGTGTATTTTGTACTATTTTGTACTCAATATGATGTGGAATTCTATAATGCATCAATTATTATGAAGCCATAGGGGTAAGGCCCTAGGGCCAAGTTATGTAACATAGTAACAGGGGAGTGCCCCTAATCCCTTGACGACACCCTACTGCTCAAATATGGGTATAGGTACAGATTAGAGACCTTACAATAGACTGCCATTTTGGATATTTTCAGGGGGTGAAACTGAATGCCTATTATAAATGCACTGGTGAGGAACGTGGCGACAGCATTGCAGCGGTTATACCAAAATCATAGGCAAAACCAAGAAGTCGGAATTCTTTATGGTCTCTATTCCAGGGCTATCTATTGAACAAATGGATAACATTTTCCCATTGTGTGTTCAGTTGTAGATGACACAAATATGTCATAACATGGCCAGGACAAAAAAGTGGCCCACAAGCTAGCCTGCTGGCTTGAATGGGTCATTGATGTTCTTACCGTACGTGTTATGACGTCATATATTGGGTATCTCTAACTGAACAGACAATGGCAAAATGTTAACTATTTGTTTTATATAAAAAGTTGAAAATGCTGTAATGTGCTCTAGGGAAATTGTTTTGCGGCTTTTGAAGCGCAACAGAAAGAGATTAATTTATATGCCATCTTACACAATACGAAAAAATGTTTGTCATTGGTTTGTGATGCTTGTGAATGAGTTGTATTTGACTTAAATATATCATATCACTCTGGCCTCTATACACATGTATTAAAATACACAAGTTGTAACAAACTGCAGCAAGACATGTTCATAACTTGTCAACAGGACGTGTTCACACTGCTTGTTCCCAGCTTGTTGACAATTGCTACGTGCAAGGTTGTTGAGCTCAACAGACTTGTTTATACAAGTTGTTCCAATGACTTATCATACTGCAATTCAACAATTTGTCTACAAGTCGTGAATGACAACCTTGTATAGCAGGTTTAATATTGTTGCAAATTGTTGACAAGCTTGCTACAAACCTATTGCGAACATATCCTGTTGATAAGTTGTGAGATTTTTATGTGCATATAGATAACAGCTTTCAATGACATCACTGTCACTGCTTCTGATGTTTCATTGATTCCTAATTTATAATACATTTTGTAGGGTACTCAGTTAAAAGATGTTAAAATCCCAGCTGATGCAGTTAAATCACTGCTATTGGAAAAACATGCTGAATATATTGCAGCTTATGGAAATAAAAAAGATGATTATGTAAGACTTAATATGAAAAGCATATTTGATGAACATGCAAATCATGATCCCAATTCTCACATATTGTTCAGGCAAATGAAGAAACATGAAACTAAATTTATAATATATAAAAAGAAACTAAAGTATTATAAAGCACAGGATAGGGATTTATACAGGCTTCCTGGCACAGGAAGAAAACATGTGCAGACTGATTGAGAAATTGAATCCTAAACTAGCCAGAATAGTTTGCATGCAGTTTTAAGGAGTTGGGGAAAAAAATTAAGATCAGGCAAAATTTGAGGATTTGAGGTGCAGTGTTTGAAAGAAAACCCCTTAAACGAACTTTATGTATATTGGATAGCTGTCAGGACAATCCCTTCAGAGGTGGTGAAACCAGGAGCTAAAGCTGCCCCCAAAATTTGAAAAGTGGAAAAAAGAGGGGGCTAAGCCCTACCAAATATAAGGTTTATTATAATTATTAAATATTCATAATTTCCCATTATGTGGCTTGAAACAGTTGTTGTAGGAGGTTAAATAAAGGTTTCTGTGTGTCAAATCTTCCTTAGAATGCAGGAAGGAGGCAGAGGTTATATTTTAAAATTTTTCGGCAGAGCATGCTTCTGGACCTGCCTAGGGTTTGTATTACACCCCCCCCCCCCCCCAAACCAATTAGCCAATTTTCCAATTAGCCTATGAATCCCTTTATTGGTCCGGTGGTACTATAGCTGGGAACCAGAGCAAGCATTCTTCTCATATGCAAAATAATACTCATTGAACTGCATCTGTCAAAGATGTTCTTCATATAGAGGTGCAGTAAAGGCCACCTTTAGGCTGTAAATCTCTCAAAGGTCTTGGGTCGTTATCTCCCAACGCGATTTTGTATAGTTAACCATATGGCATATCAGTTGACAGCATTATTACCTATCTATAATTTTGCCATTTCTCTCAAAAAAGGAATACTGTATAACAGAATATCTTCGTATGAGTGGAGTTTATTGGGGCTTGACTGCAATGGATCTCATGGGAAAAATTGACATGATGAATAAAGAGGAGATTATTGAGTTCGTGAAATCATGTCAGCGTGAGGACGGCGGTTTCGGTGCAAGCGTAGATCATGATTCAAGCTTGCTCTATACATTAAGTGCTATCCAGGTGAATATGATTTAAGAAACTTTATCATTTTATATTGAAGAAAGCAATGCCTCATGAACAGGATTTTTTCAGAGTTACCATACAGAAAAAGGAGTTTAGTGCTTTACCAAATTGTTTTCAATGTCGCGTATTTTGAACCTAAATAAAATCTTTTTGGCGTTCCTCTCAAAAGCACTTTGTTTTAGCTTTATTTTGTAGTTTACTCAGTTAGCAACCTTTTTAAATGTATCTGGCGGTTGAGAAACACAAACGATAATAGTTAAATATTGTCAATTTAAATACAATTATCATTGATCCCGTAAAATTGACGCCATGTTTATACAGCAATTCTCAGAATACTGAACTTCGGACATGATTTTTTCTCTGTGGCATACTATCAAAAATCTCTTCATTTTAGCATTATTTTACAGATAAGGCACTGTCTAAACATACTTTTAAGTTTGTTTGCCGATTGAAAAACGTAATTATCAAAAATCCGGTTTCCTCCCACAGGTACAGGGAATGTTAATTGACAGGATGGGTTGGGACAAGCCCCAAATTGAACCCCTCCCCAACCTAGCTGCGCTCCATGATCAGATATGAGTCATAAGGTGGCTGCCAGAGGCGCCCTTAGGCTTAGAAAGCCTTCTACACATCAACTTGAGCTGCGTCCTTCGTAATTCAGCTTATTTCTCAGCTGCAAGTAAGGTCAAGGATGATTAGCACACACCCACTTATTAGCACATAATTTGTTCTAGATTCTTGTAATTTACAACTGCTTGGAAGTCATCGACGTCGAGAATGCTGTAAAGTATATTGTCAGTCTTCAGAAAGAGGATGGATCATTTGCCGGAGATATTTGGGGTGTGTAACTAATTTCTATATTAGATACCGTATACCAGACTTATTTAAAAGCAGACTAACATGCCCTAACGCAATGTGCCCCGGCCCATAGCACAGGTACTGTACATACACATATAGGTATACTGAAAGATAAATTGTCTCGCAAATTTTAGGTGAAATTGACACGAGATTTTCTTTTTGTGCCATAGCTGCTCTCTGTCTAGTGGTAAGAACCGATATCTGTGTATTTAGAAGACTGTTCATCTGATGTGTGACTAACACGCATTCATGTTCATTGTAGGAACGACTAGACGTAGTGCATGTAGACAAAGCTGTTGACTATGTTGTGTCATGTATGAATTTTGATGGTGGCTTTGGCTGTCGCCCTGGGTCCGAGTCACATTCAGGACAGGTATATTCAAATGCCGTCGGAACTCTCCTTACGGATACTTCTCTAATACGGACACATCTACCGTACAGATGTCTATCTTATAGGGACATCTCTTTAATATGGACACCTCTCTAATGCAAACACCTCTCTAATATGCACGCCTCTCGGATACGCACATCTCTCCAATACAGACACCTTTCTAATATGGACACCTCCATAATGCGGACGCATCTCCTATACAGACATCTCTCTAATGCGAACACCTCTCTAATACGAACACCTCTCTAATATGGACACCTCTCGAATACAGATATCTTTCTAATACAAACATCTTTCTAATATGGACACCTCTCCAATACGGACACCTCTCTAACACGGACACCTCTCCAGTATGGACACATCTTTAATACAGACATCTCTCTAATGTGAACACCTCTCTAATATGGACACATCACTAATACACCTCTCTAATTCGGGCATCTCTCTAATTCGGACACCTCTCTAATACGGTCACTTCTCTAATACGGACGCCTCTCTAATATGAACACCTCTCTAATATGAACACCTCTCTAATATGAACACCTCTCTAATGCGTACACCTGTCTAATAAGGACGCCTCTCGAATACGGACATCTCTCTAATACAGACACCTGTCTAATATGGACACCTCCCTAATGCGGACACATCTCTCTAATATGGACACGTATCTCTCTAATACGAACACCTCTCTAATATGGACACCTCTCGAATACAGACACCTCTCGAATACAGCCATCTTTAATTCTAATACAGACGTCTTTCTAATATGGACACCTCTCCAATACGGACACCTCTCTAATACGAACACCTTTCTAATACGGACACATCTCCAATACAGACATCTCTCTAATATACACACCTCTCTAATATGGACACATCTCTAATACACCTCTCTAATTCGGACACCTCTCTAATAGGGTCACTTCTCTAATACGGACACCTCTCTAGTATGACATCTCTAATGTGTATACCTCTCTTAAGCGCCTAGAACAGTCTTGGTTTGTGCGCTATATAAATGTTTATTATTATTATTATTATATGGATACCAGGGGTGTATATTCTTCAATGACCTTTGATTTCTCCCCCCCCCCCCTCTCTTCAGCTTTGATTTTCTTCCCTGTATCTTGAAGAAATTTGGACGCGGCATCGGAGTCTGGGCTCCACCTTTACTATTCCAGTAATTTTCCTACGATTTAAAAAATTATTTTCGAAAAAACGTTTGGTTCAAGGTAGAAAAATGATGTTACAATGCTGATTTTGACAACAAATTTTTCAGTTTATTTAGAACTTCTGCATCTCAATGATAAATGTTGTTCAGCACAACAAAATAATTGATTATTGATATATTAACTAGAGATGTTCCCATTAAAAAGTACTCCTCTCTCTAAATTACGTTCATTTTTTAACAAACGTTTTTAGTTTCACAAACATTAATATATATTCACTTTTTTAAAATTTTGATTTAAATATTGACATTATGTTCCAATTCCCCTTCCTCTTGCCATAAAAAGTCATACTTCATCTATACCCCTCCCCCTCCTTGCTGACATAATATGAGACTGATCCCCAAATGTTCTCAATTCTTTTTCATTCTCATCCCTTGTCCTTTCTCTTCTTTTCCTTTTGCCCCCTCATTTTCCTTTTGCCCTTTCCTTTCTTTTCCCTTTGTTCTCTTCTTTTCCCTTTGTTCTCTTCTTTTCCCTCTTTCTTTTCCTTTCCCTTCCCTTCCTTTCTTTTTCACTCTTCTTTGAATTTCTTCCCTGGCCCTA